CTTCTCCGGCGGCCCCAGGCGGTGTGCGGGGACGCGGTCGCACCGGGCGCTGGGCGGGAGGAGCCACCGGCCCCGCGGCAGCCAGCCCGAAAGCTGCCTCGGTCACGAAGGGGAGAACAACGTGCAAATCTGAAAAGTGACGTCAGGGCAGAGTTGTTCCTTTGCTCCTTTTAAGCATGTTTGCTCGGCTGCCCGCGCCCCTCAGCTCGTCTTCTGCGTATTTTTAGCAGAAGTGATGAGTGAATATGGGAATGTTTCACGTAGCTGAAAATGGGCTGGGAGCCCTGATTCTAGTTACTGCCGTCCCTGCCAGGATCACAGGTTTTTGGCAGGCTACCAGAGGTGACTGGGGGGGAGCAGCTTCATTTTCAGGAGGGTTTATACTTGTTTTTCAGCCTGATATTCAGATACATAATGCGTTAAATGAAGACTTTTTAATACTACCTGTTTGTCGTGGCACCTTACAGCAGTTACTTAGGTACTTATGTATTTTTCACTTGAAAGAAAAATTAGTCAATCTTTGTTTGAAGAAGTTGTTTACATGGACTTATCAGAGATGACCCCAAGTTGCCCAACATTACAAGGCCCATCAGTTGTGAGGGGAACCAGCAGAAGGAGTGCCAGAGTTGCTAGGGTTTTCATCATTGGAATATGTTTAATTGTAGCGGTGCATTTCTTTTATTTAGACTGTTTCTGCCATCACATCTCTGACCTGGTGGGTTACCAATGTGAACCTGTTAACCTTTTTTACCTTTTTCCTCAGAGTTCCCTTTTTCTTTTTTTCGCTAGTGAGCGATGAATCTAGTCGCGACTCAGAAGTTGCTCCTAGAGAGCACATCGGCCCTGGTGGCTCTATACAATCTCGAGAAGAAAAGCAGGAACCAGTGGTGGTTCGGCCATATCCACAGGTTCAGATGTTGACGCAGCACCACCCTGTCCAGTCTGGTGCCCCAGTGACAGTGACAGCACCACCAGCACATTTGACTCCAGCTGTGCCACTTTCCTTTTCAGACGGGCTTATGAAGGTAATGAGGAGGTTCACAATTCGTAGGGACAAAAATACAATCTATATTACAAGTTAGAGTGTTGAGCAAAAATAAATCACACTGAAAACTTCCCTACTTTTGTTTTTTAAGCTTTCCTTGTGTGCTTCTACTGACTGCACATTGCCTCCTGGGTTTAGGTGTTTTGTATGATACATTGAGGACTTCATAGTATCACAGCATTATTTTTGAGGGGTGTGTTTTTTGTTTATCTCTTAAGAGAAGGGTAATTTCAATCAGTTTCTGAAATCTTTTCTCTGCAGGAGTGGATGAGAATATCAAATTAACTGTTAACACCCAGTGTCTGTAGGGGAATACTGTAGTCCTAACAGATTCCATTTGTGACTCATGCTGTATGTTAGAAGCTGCATGTTTCCACTACAAAAGATACCCTTTCTTTGTCCCAAATGAAAATGGAATAGCTCTAAATGACCAATATCCTTCCTCTCCAAATGCTTAACTGTACTTATACTTGTGCAAAGCTGACTTTCTCTCCAGGCTTTGACCCCCCCCAGAAATGATACCTGCTTCAACATTGAGCTCTCATTTGGAGTAGCCAATGTTTCTGTCTTTGTATTTCTTGCAGCCTCCCTTGAAGCCTACCATGCCCAGCCGGCCCATTGCTCCTGCTCCGCCCTCTACTCTCTCTGCTCCCACAAAGGTTCCTGGGCAAGTTACTGTGACCATGGAAAGCAACATACCACAGGCTCCAACAATTCCTGTGGCAACAATCAGTGGGCAACAGGTTTGGTTTTTTGGTTTGTTGTTTTTCTGTTCCATCTCACTGCATGGTCGGATCAATACTAATGTTGGTACAACTGAGGTGGGTTCTTGCAGCAGGAGGGAAGGTAGAGAGAGCAGGCTTCCCTATTCAGTGGCCACTGGTTGTTGGATCGGTTCTGCTTGGAGAACGTCAGACTCGGTTATCACTAGCTCTTTAGAAAGTTACTGATTCGTTGTAATCATCCAACTGACGTAGCACGGTGAGGCTGTGATAGCAGAGCCATATCCAAAAGCTGCTGTGCAGCTGAGTCTTTCCTTAACAGCTCCTGCTGTTTCAGTATCACTTGGAGAATTTCTAGTATAGACAAACTGCTGGAATTCATCACTGCACTGTTCTTTAGCTCTCCTGGGAGCAGATCAGAAGAGACAGGTGAACAGTTCATGGTTTTGCAGTGTATTCTTATTAAACCACTAGTGACAAAATTTGAGCGGGGGAGGTGTAGATAATGCTTTAGATTCCCCCCCCCTCCTCCCCCCGCTAACTTTGACTGCAGATCCAGTCCTGGTGATTTGAAACTAGTTTACCAGAACACTGTGGTAGGTTGACCCTGAGTGGGTGCCAGGTGCCCACCAAAGCTGGTCTATTACTCCCTCTCCTCAGCTGGACATGGGAGAGAAAACATAACAAAAGGCTCGTGGGTCAAGATAAGGGCAGTTGAATAAAGCAAAAGCAAAGGAGAACAGATTATTTTATTCTCCGCTTCCCATTGGCAGGCGATGTCTGGCCACTTACTGGGAAGCAGGGCTTCAGTATTTGTAGTGGTTGCTCCGGAAGACAAACATAAAATAACGAATGCCTCCCCTTCCATCTACCTTTACTTAGCTTTTATAGCTGAGCTGACATCATATGGTATGGAATATCTGTTTGGTCAGTTTGGGTCAGCTGTCCTGGCTATGTCCCCTCCAAGATCTTGCCCAGTCCCAGTCTGCCAGTGGGGGGGGCGGGAAATGTTGGAGAGAGCCTCGACGCTGTGCAAGCACTGCTCAGCAGTATCCAAAACACTGTTGTGTTAACAACACCTTTCTAGCTACCAATACAGACCACAGCGCTACGAGGGCTGCTGTAGGGAGAATTAACTCCATCTCAGCGAGACCCAGTACACTGTGAAGTCCCAGGGTTTTGATGTAAAGTGCCTTTAGGTGGATTTGAGTTAGGCTGGCTAAGGATGTGCAGCAGTTTCAGTGGATTTTTATCTTTATTAATATCCCTGGGAAGTCCAGAATTATAAGAAAATAGAATTAACTTGTTGCAGCATTTGCCAAGTTCCCACCGTTCTCTCAACTTTACTGGAGAGGTGGTATGAATCTATGCCTTAAAGGTCACTAATGGCAGAAGGGCCATCTCTGGCTGACAAGTGGGTGACTGCTGGCTGACTGTCACCCATGTAGCAACCAGAAAAATAGATCAGTGAAATAGATAAATGTGTACATCTTCCACACACAATGTCATCAGGCTCTGTAACTTCATCCTGTAGAAACATCTGCCTCTTTCTCCACTCAACTTGTAATGCATGCAACCTTTATACACCAAATATTTCTACAAAATCTCTTTTCTCTCTTTGGGACTTAGATATGGTAATAGTGTGGCCATTAATTCTTGTTGACACAGCTCATAAGTTTATTTTGGGTTTTGCTATTTCTTTAACTCTGCAGGGGCATCCTAGTAACTTGCATCACATCATGGCTACCAATGTGCAGATGTCTATCATCAGAAGTAGTGCTCCTGGGCCTCCGCTACACATTGGAGCTTCTCACCTACCCCGAGGTAAAAGATCTAGCTGCGCTATCCCTGCCTTCAGCTCACAGCCTCTCGGGGAGGTGCATCTAGCCTTCACCTCTAAAATTCTCCTCACTGCTAACGCAGCTAAAACTTCAGCTGTTAAAACTGCTAGCATGAATAGGTGACTGCTGGCCTTTTTAAGAATTATGTTGCTTTCAGCCATTTAGGGCAGGACTGTGTGACAGTGTTTAAAATGCTGGCAGATACCAGCATGTCTGTTATTCTAGTTCTATGTTGTTAAACAGTAAACACTTTAAAGAAAAAATATACACTGGTATAGACTGACCTGTCCTACAAAATGTCATGTTCATTCTTGGTAGCAAGTGTCACTTGCCTATGACAGTGGCACCTGGGCAGTTGTGAGGCATATTCTTGTACCCACCTGTCACAGGGTCACTTGTGCATTTTTGTGCATGCTAATATATCCTGTTGTGTGCATTTGCGTTTATCCTTGAGTTAAATGCTGGTCATAACTACAGGCTCTTGCCTCCCAGGATTTTGGTTGCTACGGCTTACAAAACAGGAGATCAGCCCCTTAAAAGAAGCCCTGGGCTCAGTACAGTCTGTCTGATTTCTGACTGTAGTTTTACTTTCAAAAGCTTATGGGTTAGGTTTCTAGTTCAACTTTAAACTGATCTGAATTTGAAGTACCATTTATTTTTATTTCCTCTCATATTTGATGTTATTTGGTCACTCAAAAATAAATTGACATGAGCAAAACCTAATCTTTTACTAGAGTAGGTGGGAGACTGTGCAGCTTTATTTGTAGCTGAAGTAAAAAGTAGTGTTGTTCACTTGATTCTTGTGGGACAGCTGCCACAAACTTTGTATTGTCAGTTAGTGTGTGTTTTCTTTTTTCTTCCTGCTCTTTTTCTTTCAGCTTGAATGTTAACTTTTGAGGTAATAATTTCAATTAGGGACATCTACAGAAGCTATGCAGTCTAGTCCATCAAATTATTTCAAGGCTACTTGCCTTCTACAGTGATTTCTTATGATCAGGAGACAGCAAACAGTAGACAAATTAATCAAATTGCAGGTTCAAAAGGGTTGATTTGTTTGGGGTTGGTTTGTTTGTTTGTTTTGGGTTTTCTTCTATTGCATGTGTATTTTTCTTCCAAACTTCATCAGGTGCAGTGAGATTATTGTTGGTATCAGGTGACTTATTTACACATTAGCCCAGTAATCAAACTGAATTATTTCTACTGACTTCCTTAGCTTGGAATAGAAGGTTGGATCATTGGATCCCCTGTAATAATAGGGGAATGAGAAGTATCAATAAAGCCAATTCATTTAAAATAATACCTACCCTTCCCCACATACTTTTGTGAACCTTATGTATTATTTGTTGCAAGCCTTACTTTTTAAACCAATGTCACCTGAACTGACATACACATGAAATACATTAAAACTGAAATACATACCAGCTAATGTCAGAGTCTGTCTCTGTGGTCATAATGGAGCCATTTGGGTGCACAGTATTTTAACAGACTTGCTTTGTTTCCCAGGTGCAGCGGCTGCTGCAGTGATGTCCAGTTCTAAAGTAACTACAGTCCTGAGACCAGCTTCACAGTTGCCAAATGCAGCTACAGCTCAGCCAGCAGTTCAGCACATCATTCATCAGCCAATCCAGGCAGGTAGCAGCCAGGCAGCTCTGCAGAACACTGACCGCCAGCTCCAAATTCTTTCTGGCACTTATGTGTAACATATAACCTGTAATTGTGTGTTTACTGGGCTGAGGCTACTGTCCGCTCTCTTCCAGTTCTGTTTCTTGGGTACCAGTTTTTAATAGCAAGTAGTGAAATGGTTGCATTCGTCCTGTGGTTTTACTTCCTTCGTAGACTTGGTGCCAGAAATTGGGTTTTTAACTGTCTCCAAAGTGCTTAGAAGCTGGGAAGAGGATTTAGTTCAGATACACTCGGGTTTTAAGGTCTGAAAAGTCTGGTGTGATATGCTCGTGTTGATTTATTCTTAAATAGACGTATTGATGTAGAATCTAAAAAGATCTTATTTTAATGTGCTTCTGTATATCTCGGCTTATGCACACATATAAGGGGAAGATTGTAGATACCTCCCTATGATAGTACTAGTGTTCAATGTTAGGACAAAGGGTTAAACATCCTTAGTTTGTGCTTTCAGTTAGGATCCCAACATAATCACCTTTCACTTCCTGTATATACTTGGATCAGGGTTTCTTTTGGTTCTGAAGGAAACTGACCTTTGGTTTTTTTCCTGAAGACCTTCAAAGGGTTAACTTTGTTGGTTACCAATTCCTATGATGTACATGCTTTGAAAACCAGGACAGATCTGCTTAGGAGCTTGCAGATCAATTCAGAAAGGCTGGAAATGTCTTAAAATGCCAAAACTTAGTGATAAGAAGTAGGAAGAGCAGTTTTAGCCAAGTAATTCCTAGTTATTCTCTAAACACCAGAATTTCTTTTCTGAATGTGTCTCTTTTTGACTCTTTTTTTTATAGTCTCGTCCTCCTGTGACAACTTCAAGCACTATTCCTCCTGCTGTGGTGGCAACTGTCTCAGCCACAAGAGCTCAGTCCCCTGTTATAACTACAACAGCAGCACATGCTACAGAGTCAACCCTCAGGTAAAGATGCTTTGAAATCTACAGTGCTCTGACTTTACAGAGGCTGCAGGCAGGGAAAACATATGTGTTAATCATCCAGAGCTGATAATCCTCTAGATGTGGGATGCTATAATACAAAAATAGTAATGCTTGCATGGTGCAAATGCTTTCAGTTCTGTGAATAAAGATTACTATAAATGTGAACTATTGCTCTGTGTTCTGAGAATGAAGGACCTTAATGAATCAGTTTTGAAGTCCTGCTTCCAGGAAAGCAGAGTTTCTATTGCAGGAACTTGTGGCTAATTCGGCCCATCTTTTTTTATGAAGACGCAGTGAAAAACGACCCATGAATGTTGAAAAGCATCCCTGACAGAAGGCCTCTTTTACAAACTGATAGGAGTTACTGATAAGTCTGCACTCCTAGTTGGGTACATAGGGCAGATGAGGACAGAACAGTGTAGTTCAAATTTCTTAACGCTGCTTTACCATGTACTTGATAGCAGTGTTGCTTTTGCAGAGGAGGAGACCAAGGCCTGATGGGTGTTCCTGAATTTTGTCTTTCATATTTAGTATCCACATGGTTATGTTCATGATTATTTTTCTTTCTCTCCAGTCGACCCACCCTGTCTATCCAGCAGCACCCGCCTTCTGCAGCTATTAGTATCCAGCGGCCTGCACAGCCGAGGGATACAGCTACTCGGATTACACTACCATCTCACCCAGCTATAGGAACACAGAAGCCGCAGCTCCACACCATGGCTCAGGTAAACTGTAAGAATTAAAAAACACCCTTCATGCTTCTTCTAGATGTCTCTTTTGTTTATATCTTGAAGCCTAAGATTAAATTTGGGAAAAGAGTTAGTATTAGGTTAGAAATTCATGTTCTTTATGGTCAGTGCAACATTATTCCATACTAAGTATATATTTTAAATGTACTAGTCTTTTAACTTGAAGGTTTTCTTTTCTTTTCTTTTCATAGAAAACCATTTTCAGTACTGGTACTCCAGTGGCAGCAGCAACAGTGGCACCTATTTTGGCAACAAATACCATTGCTTCAGCAACCACAGCTGGTGAGTATTCCTAATGCTATTGTGGGAGAGCTGTGGGGTGTGGGTTTTGTTGTTGCTTTTTGTTGTTTTTCCTCCTTGAAGATGGGACCTGATTACTTTTGAGGAATTCTTTATTTATGGCAAAGACTGCATTTAGGAGTGCATGAGCAGACTTCAGGAGAGAAATTACTGGGTTTTTCAGGGAGATTGTCTGGGTTGGGGTTTTTGCCTTCTTTATTTGGATATAGGTAGGGCTTTGTAGAAAGATCTTGTATGGGTTTTTTTTTTCTTTAGGTTCTGTGTCTCACACACAAGCGCCTACAAGCACCATTGTCACCATGACAATGCCCTCCCATTCTTCCCATGCTACAGCTGTCACAACCTCAAACATCCCAGTTGGTGAGTGATTTCAGCTCTAAGAAGAGCGTGCAACGGATGCTTCGATTTTTCTGTTTATGCTAGCAGTGTTTGTGCATATTAGCAAATGAAGGAGGGGAAGAAAATCAGTTCCAGCTGGGAGAAACCAATTAACAGGTCTGCTGTGGCATAACTGTTTTAATACCAGGGAGAAATAGATGTTCTAGGAGGAGTAAGTAATAAAATGGCTCATTAAATTACTCAATTGAATTTTCAGACCAACTTGGGCCTTTTGGCATTTCAGAACCTGCATTGTATATACTAGAAGTTGTAACTGTTTGGTGATAGAATATGGCTTTCATAGTTGATTTTTTTTAAAGTTCCTTCCTGTGCTTCTTGAGGCATTAGGTGTAGCCTAGTCGAGTTTGATTAGTATGTTAATTTGGAGGTAAAACACTAAGGTCTAAAGGTGGGAACTTTATTTGCCGGGATGTAGAATCTGCCTGAGATGTTTCCTACAGAACTGCATAAGTTTCCTTTTTTCATCTCTTTTCCTGCTGACCTCCTTCTTGTTCTTTTGAAATCTTGTAATATCTTTCCCTGCCATAAATACCCGAGGAGTAAAGTTATATCTCCATACATCAGTGTTTCCTGTAAAGCTTTTGTAGGTGTTTTCTTTCTTTTCTTGGCCTCTGTGTATACTTGCCTGCCTTGATCTCGTTTCCCTCAATCTCTGCCAAGTTCTGCTTTGAAAATTTGGATAAATAAGTTCTTGACAGCAGGAAGGATTGGGTTGATCCTAAAAAAAAACCCAATAACTTCATTTGAGCACTGGAGTAACTTACTCTGTTAGCAAGTATAATTTATATATGCATTTATAATATCCATCTATTCTGGTATAAATTGATGGAAAAAATGCGTCGTTTCCCTTGCTCTTTCTGCCTATGGAGGAAACCTATCATCACTGTGGATAGGAAATCATCTGGGGATGGGGTGGATTTTTTGGCTTGAGGGGGAAGGTAGTAGTATAGGGGTTTTTGCCAGGAGAATTAATCTTGCCTCTGTAGCGTTTACCAACTTTTCCTTTGACTGTCAAATGATTACATCTTTGTCTTTGTGCAGCTAAAGTGGTTCCTCAGCAAATCACGCATACTTCTCCCCGGATCCAGTCTGATTACACAGCAGAGAGGAGTAATCTCATACCCCTTTCTAGTCACCGGGCGTCTCCAAACCCAGTAGCAATGGAAACCAGAAATGACAACAGGTGGGGAAATAACAGCTCTGTGAATGAGAGTGTGTGTGAGTATGTTTTGAGTGCCTTACTGCTTTTCTAGGTTCCGCTATGCTGGAAATAATATGTTTTAAAAAGCTGAGGTGGGGGGAATTTGGTAGTTTTGAATTAATCATTATAGTTGAGATACTTGATAGCTTATGACGGATGAGATTACAAAACTCAGGGAGTGGCCCAAAGGCAGGGGTTGAAGATGAACTGTTGAAATGGTGTGTGTAATACTTGCTTTCTTTGATGCCTTTAGGCAGTCGGTGCCTGTCCAGTTCCAGTATTTCTTACCAACATACCCGCCTTCTGCCTATCCTTTGACTGCACACACCTATACCCCCATCACCAGCTCAGTGTCCACAATTCGCCAATATCCAGGTAACGCTAGCTTTGGGGCAAGCTCACTTTGATGTTTTGTTCAGTTGTTTAAAGCTTATGTATGAGCTTTAGTGATGGGAGAAGCTAAGAGGCTTTTATGCTTGATTCTGACAATTTGTCGCAAAAAGTCTTTGAGTCGTTGGCTGAGGTGAAAATTCAAGGGCAAGGGCTACTGAAGTACTTCAGAGGCCCACTAAATCCAGCTAATAACAGTCGTCTTGGGAGTTTCACATTTGATATCCAAGGGTTTGCCTCTCTAAGTAAAAGGTTTTGATTCTACAAATCAAAACAGTTCAACTCCTCCAAACCAGTTCTTTGATGCATCTTCATTCCCTGGTGTTCTGATGAGCCCCTTTTAATCTCTTTCCACAAGTGTACAGTTTGAGAGAGAAACCTGAACCAAAAACAGAAAAAATAAGCTCCATTGCACACTTTTGCATTAGTGTTCTATTTAAAAGAATGGAGCAATTAATGTGTTTAAACTGTTGCAGTAATTTGCAGACAGTGAAAAAATAATGTGTAATATGAGCCCACATAGTCAACCCAAACTTACGTCATTCTGTGACAAAATTTGGAGCACTTTTACTGAGTGGTTTAGGACTGTTCTCTATAAGGTGATAATTTCCACAATCCAAAGCATAGGAATATGCATGACTTGGATTTTCATGGAACATCTGTGTCTGCTGGCAGCATGTTACCCTTGAGCAGTATGGAGATAATTGGGAAGGACTTGGAGGTGGCAAAGCCTATTTGCTGAATGGGAAAGTATGCACAAGGAATTGATGAGCTACTGGGGCCTGTTCTTTCTGTCATTGAAAATCCAGTGAGAAGTTGCAAGTCTTGACTATAAGTCATGTCATGATTTGAGGTGGGCTTCAGGATGATTAAATGACTCACAAAAGGGACAGGTGAGCTTCTTTTGTACCTTCCTGCACTTTGGCTGAAGGTTTTAAAGGAGAATGTGCAGGTGAGTGGTGATACTTGGTGTTGGCAGCTGCAGTTGAGGAGTGTTACAGAGCCCCTGACAGAATATGATCACAGACTGTCCGGAGTTCCAGTTCTGGTAGCAGATTGGGGCAATGGTAGGCTCATGCTAATTTTTAAAAAAGCAGATGTAGGCTCTTCAGCAGGAGGTCATTGACAGAGACATTTTGCTTGTTAAATTGAGTTGAAGGATCAGCTGAAGGTACTAATTATGGCAGTAACTGGTGACAACTCAAAGCAGCGGATTCAAGGCATCAGGAGGGACATGCACCTGTGCTAAGCACAGCCAGGTGAGGGCTTAGATAAAAGTACAAAGGAGATTTTTTTAAAAGATCATTGAGATAAGGACAGTTGATGTAGAATTTTGAGGAAGAATGTTGGGTTTGGCTTTCCAAATGCTGGTTGTGTTTTCATATAGTCTCCCAAAAGGATTTTGTTGGGTAGGAAGTTCTGCAACAAGAGTGTTTCGCATAAGGTATTCCACTAAGAGAATTAATGTGCCATACTTTATATAGAAGTCATTTTCAGGGACCTGGTGATAGATTTCAGGTTTTTTATGGCTGTTTTAGAGTGTCTTGTCAGCACAAGAACTTGATCGAAATCTTGTGATAATGACAAAAACAGCTTGTTCTGCAATGAGAGGGCTCTCCACTGTTAGCAAGCAAGTCCATTGTTGGCAAGTTCGCACTTGCATTCTGTCTATGGCTGCAGAAATCGCGGTACTGTTCTGTAAAGACTGGAAATCCAGAGATCCAGGAACTGCAGGTAGTCTAACAGTATTGTTAAATGCTGCCTGGGAGAAGTGTAATACACCGGATAGTGGATCTGGAAAGATGAAATCATAGTTGCTTAGAGCTGTAAATACAAATAAATTAATTGAACTTCCTAGAACAGGTGCCTCATTGGAAACATTGTTCTGTCGCAAAAAGATTTTGTGTTTGAGCTGTGGGATCCAGCTGATAATTGCAAGCCCTGTTCTGAGACAGATAAGATTGTACTCAATTTCAGAACAGTTTATCCACTTGCGCTAAGGAAGACTTTATTATTATTATGTGGCTGGGGAAGGGGGATAAGGAAGTAAGCCCTGGTTTAAGGTACTTACACCTGAGTCTCTGCTTGCTTTTGTACAGTCAAAGGTTTGGAGTTTTTTAATTGATATAATGATAAACTCTGTGGAAAGACTCTCTATTGAAAAGAAATGGCTTAGGCTTCTGGATGGTTGGTTTTTTTTCTTTAAGCAAGGAAAATGCCAAGTGTTAGTACTTAACAAGCATTGTAAAATAAGATAGTGAGAAAAAATAGTGCACAGCTTTCTGAGGCTAGAAGCTGGGTACAGAAATTTAAATTGAGTCTAACTAAAAGTAGAGATATACTTGATCTTTTCTCTCTTGTTGCAATTTGAAATAGAAAATGGAATGGAAATAGAGTAATGTTTAATTCTTCTGGCAGACAATCTGGCCTCTCCACTCTCAAATTTACTACTGCAACAAGCAGGCTAGCAAATTAATTTTTCAAAGCAAAATAGTCTTTGGAAAAAGTATTTATGTGAGAGGTGCTAGGGGAAACTGAGGCAACCCACTGGCTAGGTGTGACAAGGTACCTGTGTTGCTGCCCCCAGTTTCAGCCCAGGCGCCCAACTCGGCCATCACGGCTCAGACTGGTGTCGGAGTGGCCTCCACTGTCCACCTCAACCCCATGCAGCTGATGACTGTAGACGCGTCTCATGCCCGTCACATCCAGGGCATCCAGCCAGCACCCATCAGCACACAGGGGATCCAGCCAGCACCAATCAGTGCCCAGGGCATTCAGCCAGCACCAGTTGGGACCCAAGGACTCCACCCCGCCACGCCAATTGGCACGCAGGGACTGCAGCCAGCACCAATCAGTGCTCAGCAGCCACAAGCTGACACGAAGACTTCGGGTAAGAGCAACCAGCGAAGTCCATGCTTCAATTCAGAGCAACTGAACTTCGGTCCTACAAATTTTGCTTTTTTATTTTTTCCTTGACTAATGATCTTGTTATAGTCTCTGTGGACCAGCAGTGGACACTAAATACATTCATACACATATTGTCCCAGCAAATATTTTTTACCTGTTTCTTAATTTGTTTTGGGGGTTTTTTTTTTTGTGGGTTGGTTTGGTTTTGAGGTGTTTTTGTTTTTGTTTTTTTTAAGCGTACTGAGTGAAGTGTGTGGGTAGCCTTGAGTGAGTTACTTCAGTGGAAAAGACTGGTAGTGCCTGAGCTTAAACAATTCTCTTCAGTAAGGCCTTGTGGGAAAAGTCATTTACAAGTAAATGGTGTTCTCTGAACTGTTCCAGCTATGCATTAGATCACAGTGGCAATTAAAATACGGCCAGATACCTTCAGCAGTGGGTAACCTGATCTTGAACTGTGATAGAAACCATCTTTCATTAAAAATGACTGGTCTGATGAAACCCCAACAACTTACTGAAGAAATGGGATATGGCAACTGAGAGAATATGCTGTTGCAAAGCTGGCAGACATACTGATTGTGTGGTGACTTCCTGACTGTCTAAATGCTCTGCATCAGTTAGTTGGCCAAACAGGCTTTGGCAGAAGGTCAGAACATAAACACAGCTGATGGTGCTTCCTTACATGTGGCATGTATTGCCACACAGACTCTACCAGGAGTGTTATTCTGTTGACCCAGTTGTGTTGGTGATCTCCCTAGTGATATCTGCGTTTTCCATTTCTTCTGGAAAAGATTATTTCCCTAGCAGCAGTTGTTAGGCAGGAGGTAGTTTCCATCTTCCCTGCAGAAGGTTCAGTGATCAGCTTGCTTGTAGCAAAGGTATTGCTTACAAAATAGTCTGAAAGCACTGCAGTTAAAGACTGAGGGAGCATGGACAACAGGTGATCTGCAAACACCTGCTTTGTCATCAAATTTCCTTAAGTAACTGCTGCTTTTTCCTCTCTGTATCTGTTCTTCTCTCTGCTGTGTCAATGTCCATCCCTCCCAGCAGTAGTCTTGGCAGATGGAGCCACCATTGTAGCCAATCCTATTAGCAACACATTCAACACGGCTTCTGCAGCAACTACAGTTGTGCAAACCCACAGCCAGAGTGCCAGTGCCAGTGCGCCAGCCCAGGGCTCTTCCCCGCGCCCAAGCATCCTCCGGAAGAAACCAACCACAGATGGGTGAGTAGAATTGAAAAATATGTGAATGACACTTCTGTGCAGTCTAGCCCAGCTAAATGGAATCATTTCAGTGGAGATAAGAAAAGTTCTAGCAGACTATTCAGCTAGCAGTTGTTGTGAGTAACCTGCTGATCTGTGAAACACACTTCTTTTCCTCCCCCAGGGTAGGATATAGTTTTCTCTTACTGTCAGTAATAAAATGAGAAGAAGGACAGTTTGTCTTCTAGCTCTTGATAGTGACCTTTTGAGGGCAAGTAGATTTGAGACTTTCTTACTTAGTGTAATAAAAACAAAGAGTTCATAATCTAATAAAATTAGAGTTCCGTGCTTTGTCTTCAGTGCTTTTCTTGGAAGAATATGTGGATGAGTAGAAAGGACAGGATTAGTACCCTGCTGTGAAATCTGATTAGGAAGAAGGGAGGGAGTAACTTAAACTCTTAAAATATTTTATGTTGTCTGTCTAATTTTAAATGCCTGAATAAAGAGGCAAGAGACAGCTTTAGAATTAACAATGCATTTCCTCCTGACTAACAACTGAAAATATTTGGAACTGATATGTCCTATGAGACTAAAATTGCCTTTTTTTTTTTTTTTATTATTTGGGTGGAAACCTTTTTTTTAAGGCAGAGAAGCTGTAGAACTGAAACAAATTAAAGAAGCAGAGGTAGATCACTAAAGAATGTTTCTATTTGAGAGGTTGATTATTTTGGACAACAAATTGACTTCCAGCCCCACAGGAGACTGAATAGTCTCTAAGATACTTTTCTGTATTCAGCCCTGTGCTGCTTAACATCTGCATCCAGGGCTTGAGGTCCTGGAGTCAGGATTTGACACAGTCTATTCCAACTAAACGAAGCAGATGCCTATCTGAGCACTGTTTGGTTCCAGATGATTTGCTCAGTCTTGCAATAGCAGTGGAGGACAGTGGCATAGCCAGACCTCCCTTTGTCCACTGTTGGAGCCTGGCAGTCTCAGTAAGATGCTCTGCCTGGCAGGATAAAAGTAAAGCTGGCATTCTTGGAGAAGCCCTAAATGGGGGTGAGACTAGGCTAGAGCAACTAATCTTTTATCTTTAAAGAAAATAAAACATAACATCTAATTTGAAAAGTGAAATGAGACTCACTCTGTAGTGAGTCAGTTATACTGAAGACAGTGATACAGCAATGATACAGCCGTAACTCCTATCCTGGTTTGGGCAAGAGAGGGTTGATTCCTTTGCTCTCAGTGGTATTCGTGTTTGCATCAGGGAGGTGGGAATCTTAGATCTGTCTGTCTCTTATAGGCTGGCAGTCCGGAAAAGCTTAATTCCACCTCAGCCACCTGAAGTAGCTAGCACACGTGTCGAGAGTACTATGCGAAGCACATCTGGATCACCGAGGCCTGCTGGGTAAGACTGTAGGAAACAACCAACTGCATCATAATAGTTTTACTATATTTGTTTGATTTGTATTCTTTGGCTATTGGAGCATTTCCTTTCTTTTGGGAAACTGAAATCTATTTTGAAATTGTCAGTGTGATGACTTTGAACAGATTTGAGTAGTTCTGCTGCTGTGAAGCTGAGGCAGTAGCCTTTTAAAAGGTGTAGTTATGAGCTTTCATAGAAACAAACAAAAAACCTTCTGCTGTTATAAAGGATAGGCCTTGAAACTTTTTTCTCTACTACTTGGGAATTAATGCTGAAGAAAGGTAAATGGAGCTTCTGCCCTGCTTCAATTTTGATCAGTGGCTTTACAATTTAGTGGGTTTTAACTATGGGCCACAGTGGGAGCTCTTGAAAACAGAGGATGGGGAGCAGTACAGCTTTGGGTAACAGTTCCTTTTGTCTGCATTGTGAAACTGTCTTGATCCTTTTACAAGTATTTTGAAGTTACCTGGAATTAGTCATGAGATTTGCTTGTTACAGTGAGTGGAAGAAAAATAGCATCTATAACAAATACAAAAGATTAGAAAGGGAGTGGAGGAGGAACTGTAACTGAGATGACACCTTCTCCTGTTGTTAAACACGTTATGGAGCCAGGTGTTACTTGCGGGTGCAGGAAAAACTGGATAGTGTGAATCCAGCTTGGCTCATTCACTTTGTGCTGGGTGGTCATGACCGAGATGCAGTTAACTTCAATTTGGTTTGCTTTTTTTTTTTTTACATTACAGTGCCAAGTCCAAACCTGAAATTCATGTGTCCATGGCCACTCCAGTCACTGTGTCTATGGAGGCAGTGTCTAATCAAGGCAGTGAGCAGCCCACCATTGCGGTCCCCCCTACCTCCCAGCAGCCCCCCTCTGCCATTCCAACAATCATCGCAGCAGCCAGTCCCACTTCGCAGCCTGCAGCAGCGCTGTCCACCATTCCAGGAGCTGTCCCGGCTGCTCCACCAACTTCTACCACAATTGTGGCAGCACCCGCTCCTCCATCAACCATGAGCGGTGCCCTGTCAGCAGTGCTGGGTCCTGCAGTACCGGAGATAAAAATCAAAGAGGAATTGGAACCTATGGACATAATGCGACCAGTATCTGGTAGGTGGTTGTTAATTACCAGATTGCTTCATTTTTTGTTGAGACAGTGGAGAAATTAGAAGGATTTCAACATGTCCATCTTGAAAATGAAATTGCATCTCTTTCTTGGTAGCACAGAGCACCAGTCAGAGGGCTCCCATATGCCTTGTTACTCATGAAGTTCTTCTTTGCCTTCTCCCTAATCTCCCATGAAATCACTTGTTATTGTGACTGCTTTGTTCACATTCAAATATCCAACTCTAAAGGGTGTGTGTGAATTCCTTGCTCAAAATGCACATGCTCAGCAGCAGTACCAATATATTATGGATCAGTTCAGTTAATCTTGGTTTTCTCACAAATCCTACTGTTCAGGTCCAATGGCCTCTCTTGTATGTGGAAAAACTAGTGACCAGAGTAGGACTTCGTAGGGCCCTCCTGCAATTCGTGGATATTTTTCTCTAGAACTTTTTAAAGTGTGCATTATATTGCCTTACTTATCCAGCTTGGCCTTAGTTGCTATCAGATGGCTCGATCAGTAAAATTCAGACCCTTATAGATGTCAAGTCGAGCACTACACAGTGGCGAAACGATAGGAATGCATCCCACATTCATGAGTATCAGCGTTCTGTTTTAGTTGTTGGTTTTATCACTCTTCTTAAAGCTGTATGTTGTCCTGTGATGGAAGAAGCTGCTTGCTACAGATGTCTCTGGAGCACAGGCAGATAGCATTAAGTTCTTCAGGGTTCTTTTGTCTCTTACTGGCAGTTGTGGATATGCCAAATTGTCAAGAGATCCTATCACAGAAATTTTTTGCTGTGGCCTTAGTCACAGCCGATTTGAGCTTTTTCCTCCGAATGTCAAGGAATGTTTCTTCAAGCTACCTGCTGCTCTACTGCCCAACTTCAGAGGTGTGTTGATTGGTGCAGTAACCTACTGATGTGGTGCTGTTGACTTGGCGGTACAAGTAGACTCTTGCAAGGAGAGTACTGCAAACCCGATTTGATTGCGTATGACTCTCTACTTTTAAGAGGAAAGGGACTTGCTTGCTATTGACCGATCCAGGCTGGCGTACGTGCAAAGATACATCTTTTACAGTAACACAAGACAGAAGTTAGCATGGATTCCTTTTTGTAGCATTAAACTAACATAAGCTTCAAATATGAAGGAACTGAGGGACAATTATCTCTGCTTTCATTGTTTATGCTTTTGTATATGAGACACTAAAGATCTTAGCGTATAGGCTTATCCTAGCGATTGCTGCTGGCTTAATATCTGGCCTTCTACATAGATGGAGCTGAAGTGCTTGTACACGTCACGCTCCTCACAATGCGCTGAAACAGGAACTACTGTCAGAGGCAGTGTTCAAATAATGTTAGTGTGTTACCTTTACACTGCTGATGGTGTGGGTTCTTTTCCTCTTTCCTTCCTCTCAGCAGTCCCTCCTTTGGCAACAAGTACTGTGTCTCCATCTTTGGCATTGCTGGCCAACAACCTTTCAATGCCTCCAAGTGATTTGCCACCTGGTGCCTCCCCGAGGAAGAAACCCCGTAAGCAGCAGCATGTCATCTCCACAGAGGAAGGGGACATGATGGAAACAAACAGCACTGATGATGAGAAATCCACCGCCAAAAGTTTGCTGGTGAAGGCAGAGAAGCGAAAGTCTCCTCCAAAGGAGTATATAGGTAACGTCATCTCTAATGTCTTTTTTCATATGCAAGCATCTGTATTTTCTTTTCCGTTTGTTTCTCAGAGAAGGTGCTCTTGCCATTCTCCCACATCCTAAATACAAATGATACAGAATCCAAGTATCTGTTCCTCAGTGCTGTGTGTATAGTGATGTTCAGGGAAAATGACCTTTCTCAACACAGCGCATTATTTTGTATGAGTTAGTGCTTACTGATCTTCTGCTGATGTTTTGTCATGCTGATCTCCTGCTTTCACCTACTTAATGATGATAATACAGTTCTCCCTGGCTCCTTTTCTAGATGAAGAAGGTGTACGATACGTCCCTGTGCGTCCAAGGCCGCCTATCACATTGCTGCGTCATTATCGCAATCCTTGGAAAGCTGCTTACCACCACTTTCAGAGATACAGTGATGTCCGGGTAAAAGGTCAGTCTGCCTCTTGTAGTTTGACAGTTTGATTCATCCAGGGTGAACTGCTTCACTGTACCTATTAAGAGTGACTTAGGAGCCTTCTTAGCTAGCTGGTGTTGATAAGCAATCCCACAAAAAGGTTTTGATTGCAATTTGGGAAACAAGGGCTGATCAAGCGACCTAATGTCTTTCATTAGCTAGATGTTGCCTAAATCTCTTCTGCTTTCAAGATAAAGGAGGGAAGAAGGGACTGACACTACACAAAATTAGCTATAATTGTATGGTTGAGAAATCTGTTTACGTACAGTGATGGAAACTTACTAAAGAAAGGAGTCCTTAAAGTGACATGCTATGGTGATATGCTACAGTTTAGTTTTGTAATTTTCTTACTACCTAACAAACTAGTCTTGTCAACTACCAAATGGGCTTTTAAAGAAGCATTGGGGTTTTTTTCTAATATGAGGAAAATAGAGATCAGATACTGGTTTTTAGGCTTTTTTAGCTAATATCTTAAATTTTTTAAGCAGATTGGGTTTTCACAACTGTGTAAATACATCAAGGAGGGAGTAGATATGTATTTCGGTGGTAAAGGATGGATATTTTACTTTTTCATGCAGGGTGTTTGAAACACTGAGCACTACATTCTTTAAATGGGGAAAAATGGGATGTAATACAATTTTTCTGGAAATACAGATAACCTGTTAATAAGCAAGAGCAGCGGTCAGATACGTGGCAGATGGGTAGCAAAATGATGGCAGATGGGCAGATGAATCAAAACGTTGCTCATTGTCATTTATTAGGATGTATGGAGAGCAGGATTTGGCTTAATGTTTTTGTTTGAGAGGAGGCCTGGGGAACTCCTGAAATTTGAATAACATATCTTTGTATTTCCTGGTGACAGAAGAGAAGAAGGCTATGCTACAGGAGATCGCCAATCAGAAGGGTGTATCCTGTCGTGCACAAGGGTGGAAGGTCCATCTCTGTGCGGCACAGCTACTACAGCTGGTAGGTGCATGGGGCTTGCCAGCTTCCTACGACATGGGGGAACACGGAGTTGTGTAAGACAGGAGGATGTTTTTACAAACTCAGTACGTGGTCATCTGACATTGGGATACCGTAAAGGAGCTGGTGTGTAGTGCCCAAAGGGAGTGGGATGTGCTTTCCCCTTTCTCAGGAATGTGGCGTAAGTGGCTTGGAAACTTAGAGTGTTGATTTTGATCCAGACATAAGAGCTGATGTATTTTGTACAGATGATCAAAATTGGCAACTCCCTCCTGCTGATGCACAGGTCTGAAGAAGCGTCTGTTTGGGATGGTGCGGCTGATCTGAGGAGGCAGCACTGATCCACATTCCTGGATGCTTCTGTTTCAGGTTGGGGGTGAGGTAGGTGCTCTGCATTCTAGCACCAAACTCCCCAAAACCTCTGCATTCCTGGAATAGTATTGTGAGAAATAGGGGAAACAGTTCTGGTTAGGATCCATGTTTGTTCAGAAGTGGAGCAATTCTGTAAATAGGATGTTAGTAAGAATGATAGTGCCATGCTCTACATCAGAGGCTCCATCTTCTGAATTACTAACATGAGCAGCTGAGAGGGGAACAGATGATCATCTTCTCTGTGTAGCTTTCTTAATGTGGGCGAATGTTTTCTGGCCTAGCGGTGAACCTTCTCATGAAGTGCTAATGTCTTTTAGACGAACCTGGAGCATGACGTGTACGAGAGACTGACTGCCCTGCAGGAGGGACTCATTCCTAAGAAAAAGGCAGCAACCGATGATGACTTGCATCGAATCAATGAACTGATACAGGTAGGTTCCTGTGGCCTCTCAAGCCAGCAGAACTGCCTTACCCTTAATTACAAAATATCCTACTGCAGTTAGTAAGAGCTAAAGCTGGCTTAAAAAATATGGCATAGGTACACTTCCTGTGTTTCCCATGTCATCAGTTACAAGCGGTGTTAGGAAAAGGTACAGTGGTTACTTAGACTGGACAGTCTGCTGTTAATGACGACAGTGTTTCATTTCAGGGGAATATGCAGAGGTGTAAACTTGTGATGGATCAAATCAATGAGGCTCGAGACTCCATGCTAAAGGTCTTGGATCACAAAGATCGTGTTTTGAAGCTTCTAAACAAGAATGGAACTGTCAAGAAAGTGTCCAAATTAAAGCGAAAGGAGAAGGTCTAAAGCCCAAATAATGACTCTGGAAACGGAGAATGTGTACAGAATGGAGTTGAACCTTTTTGTAGTTTGGGTTTATTTTTAAGCAGAGCATCTGAATAAAAAGGATAAGTTTAGGGAACAGATGGCAACAGATGGACATTTGAAGCCTGGTGACCTGAAGGGATTGTCACTGATCTGTCATAATGAACAAAGGTTTCTCTCGGGCTCATCCCTTTTTGAAGTCTTTCCAGTCCCATTTGTTTAACCCTCCTGATGTGTCAGTGCCTACTAATTGGAACTAGTGAAGCAGTGTGCAGCGGACAGTGCTCTCCTGTTCTGCAGCTTAGGGGTAAATGTACAGAAGGTGTATATACACCTGTAATGCAGGGGACACAGGGAGGCTGACATACAGGTATCGACCCAGACAGCAACCATGCTTCAAAGCATTGAGAATGACACCACTTTCAGTTACCCCATTCAGTTCTTGTTCTTCTGACCTTCCAGTGTCTGAAGTAGCCTTCTTAAATCAGTGCCACTGCACTAGGAGATCTGCCACATCCAGAATCTCCAATGGCTCAGAAGTCCTAGCTCTCAAGTTAAAAAAAAAAAAAAAAAAAGGAAAAAAGGGGGTGGGGGGAAATAATTTCAAACTGATTTTTGTAGTGTCTCTGTGTGTGTGTGTGTACGTGTCTATGTTGGTGCTCTGGGATACTTGTTTTGAAGTACCTCTTGCAACAGAGGACTTCCTGTAGCTGGTGTAATGTTAATTGTATGTACCACATAAATCCTGAAAACATTAATAAAGGACTTGGAGGTTTTTGTATGTGAGCAGTTTGTATACCTTTATACTAGTGAAACTATTCAGCCCATAAACTCAAAAACAAGTTAAAGCCTTGAAAGAAGCCTGTTGGGGAGAAGAAACAGAATGTTGGAAAGTAGTCAGCCTCTTGTGCTGCGGAGGGAAGGATAACTTACAACTTAGTTCATGTTTCAGCTCTGGAAGATGCAATATGGATCTGCATTTAACCTTAATTTTTTAGAAAGGTTGCCAAATCAATTCATTTTTAGTGTCCTCAGCAGGACACTTCAGTTTCATGAACTAATTCTGTTTTAAGAATACTTTTTTTTCCCCTCGTCTGGTTATAGGGCTGTTATCTTTTGAGATACCAAGTTCTTTCAGAAGTTAATTAGAAAAAATGGTATTTAATTCCTCATTTCTGATTTTTTTTTAACTAGATAAGTAGAATGTCCGTATTCACACTGCTCTTGTGTTTTTAACACATGCAAAACCAACTTCTTCCAGATTTGTCTGGATGGCAGTCTCATTTTCTTATTAGCTTGATTTTAAAATAAAAACACTTTCATTGTAAGATACAATTCTAGTATAATGATATTGTAACTTCGGTAATAGAAGAGTTAACATAATTGTTTGTTAATTTCTTTGGCTAGAAGAAACAAAACATCAAAATATCCCTGCAGTTCCACAAGCCCAAGAAGTGTGCGTATATGTCTGTATGTTGAAGTGTAAGAGACTCTGGCACAGCACAAATTAAAATGCATGAAGTAAGACATGATAAGGTGGGAGTCAGACTGCTGCTTATAACCTTGTATTTCTTGTGCTTCAGGAACATGCATGACTGGTCAAATACTTGTTTGACGTTGTCGTGGTAATAAAACACTGACCCCTCATCGCTCCCAGGTTCGTAAAGACTCTGCAAGAAACTCGCTCATCATTACGAAGTTGCCTTTTGTAGGGCTGAGAACTGTTTCGCATTGTTGGCAAAGGGCTTTTGGATGAAATCCAAGGCATTACCAGCAAAGGGTGAGGTATTTTGGGGGAGGAATGGAGGGAAAGACTCTTTTAAGGATTGCAGAAGTTAAAAGCTTGCTTTTAATCCTTTCTTTTAGGCTATTCTCATGTAATTCTTTGGAAAGACTCCTGTAGTAGCCTTAGTTTTCATAAGCTGGTATTTAAGGCTATATTGTCTAGACTAAAAAGATCATGCTATTTATTCCATAACCTTAGGATGGTAATAATTCTGGTGTTGTCCTAGAAACCATACTGCTTCTGTAGGAGAAAGTAAGATCTGCTAACTTTCAGTTGGATTTCTCCAGCTAATGTTTTCTCGCCTCGTATTTATTCTTTACGCTTAGATCAGGACTGGTATACAGAAATTCCATTTTACAATCTTAAAGAGCCATACCAGTTTATGTCTTGAGGTTGAATGTGGAGTGTGCTTATACCGGGATCTGCAAAATCTGTTCTTTGGCTTTTGTAAATGTTTTGCCTGTGTTTTTAGAAGGAAATTAGAAAGTCGCATTGCGGTTTGCTGCAGGGTTCCTCTATTGCCTAGCTTGCTGTACACTGAGAACACCTCATGCAGATGGAACACCTTGACTTTTAAAGCAATCCTCATCCCAGAGAGTTAATTTACTCAAAACAAGCAGCTGAGAGAGAAGTCTCTCCATTGAGAGTGCAGCCTAAGCCTCTTATTTTTACAATGTGTCCCAAAGCCACTGACGGAATAACTACTTCCCTGCGGTATTTTTAGCAAGAAGCAGTTAGAAATATTAAAAAAAGTAGGGTTGGTTGCGGTGCGGTCGTGACACTTGCTATCCCGATTCGTCCTGCCAGGCCCGATGAAGTAGCCCGCCGGATGAGCCGCGTCGGTACCTACGTTCCTGTGACGGCCTCGGCAGAACGGGCGTCCGGGCCTCCCTCACGCCCGTCCCCTCAGCGGGAAGCTCCGACCCGCGCTGGGCAAGGCCGGGGCTGTGTCAAAACGGGCCGGAGCCGGCCAGGGAGGCCCGCGGCTCCCCTCAGCCGGGCACTGGAGGCGGGACGGGTCCCCGGTCAGGGAGCGCCTGCCCCGCCCCCGGCGCGGCGGGACGGACCAAGGCCCCCAGGCCGCGGGGGAGGATTGGGGGGACGGTAGGCCAGTGGGCAGGGTCTCCCCGCCCCCAGCCACGGAATGGATGTTTCCGCCCGCGCGCCCCTCCTCTGGAGTGCCGTCGCAGCGGCTGCTGGCCAATGGGAGAGCGGCACCCTCGCCAAGTGAGGGTGTCTTCCCCCCCACGCCCCCCGTCCCGGTCAGCGCGCAGCCGAGGGCGGGGGAGCCCCGCGGGCGAGTGGCCCCTCCCGCCCCCGAGACTGTTTGTCCTCGCACGTGCGGCCGGTCACGTGACGAGGAGGGAACCCGGCCCCGCGGGTCCCCCGACCAGGAACGGAAGTCCCCGGTATCTATGGTTCCGAGGGGGGCAAGAGCGCCCTTCCTTCTCTATGGTCGCGCTGGCACCGCGGGGCCGACGGGAGGCTGGCGGACTATGTACATTTTTCCCTCATTACCTCACGAGCAGGGCGGAGGCTGCCGGGATAGCGGAGGACCTTCCCTCGGCCTCGCTCCAGTCCTCCAGCTCCCCTCGCTGCCCGGCAGCCCCGGGAAGCCCGGCTCCCGGCCCAGCCGCGGCGGGCACTGTCCCCCTCCCTCCCTCCCTTCCCCCGCCCGCCGGGCCCACTTCTCTGAGGAGCCTCGCCCAGGCCCATGGCTCCATGAGGCGGGAGAAGGAGGAGGCTGCGGCGGCGGTGGGGCAGCGGCGGCGGCGGCGGCTGGGCTGAGGCGGAGGAGACGCCGCGTCCAGCCCGGGACGGGTGCAGGAGGTGGGCGAGCCCGGGGAGGGGGGAGGCGGGAGGCGCCAGCGTCCCGCCCGCCCCGGCGGCAGGGAAGGGGTCAACGGGGCTGGGGGGGGCTCTCGCCCCCTGGCGGCCGCGGTTCTGCCCCAC